CCCCTATTTTCCTCACCCCGCCCCTTTCTTTTGTTGTTTTCAAGAAAATGCCATCGTTGATGTCGGCTGCTGCCAAAATCACCAAAACAGTGCTTTAGACTGCTGTAAGACGTTGTTAAGGAATTCATTTACGTGGAGAAGTTAAGGAAAATATCGAAATGGCAGCAGACAGTGATCTCCCTACGAACTATGATGTTATTGTCATCGGAACAGGTGAGCAGGGGCGATTTACCTGTTTATTTGGTTAGTTCTGTAACTCATGTAAAACCAGATTCATTTCCTATTGTGGGGGCCCATATCTCTACTGGCTCTGCTATATTCTCAATCCTTCATTTTTACTGACTGCTGGAAGCCCATCAATCACTTGTGTCACTGTCAGACATCCCCAATCTATTTCCTAGTTTTATTGTGTACAAATGTATTTATACCCGTTGACACACTGCGAGCTGCTTTGTCAAAAATTTCATAATATAGCATTAGATGGTTTTACATTTTATATTTGTTTCAGGGATGACTGAGTCTATTCTTGCAGCTGCTGCAAGTAGAGTTGGTAAACAGGTACTTCACATTGATAGGTAAATTTTTGTCAACAATCCCTTGCGGCACTTTTGCAGCCAGGATGTGTCTTATTCATCATCCGATACATTTGTGAAGGATTGTGCATAAAAAACTGACCAGTCTCTCCCCATCATGATTCCAGCAATGAGTATTATGGTGGTCTCTGGTCATCCTTTAATTTAGAGAACTTGAACAAATGGGTGGCAGATTGCGAAAACAAAGAAACTCTATCTTCAGATCTTGATGACCCAAATTCTGATGTAAAAATTAATAATGGTGAAGATTTTGTATTTTTAAGAAGCCAAGCCACTCATGTGAACAATGTTGATCTTAAGTGGCATATTCCAAAGTAAGTATCAGTAAAAGTAATACTATTTCTTTTGTGTGCTCCTCTCAATGAACAGAAGCAAACTGAAAGTGCCTTTACTATTCATTTTGATTGATCATTTTATCTGTTCAATTTTCCTTGGGAAAATAATTGAGGAAGAAGTAGTTTGTTCCTTTGAGTGTAGCGAAAATGAAAATAGTTTATTGTCTGATGTAGTCTAATTATGTTTATAAGATACGAATTTTTCATAAAATTTGTATACATTTTGAAGGAAATCAGGTGAAATCAAAGTGGAACAGTGGAGCAGGAAGTCCCAGACAAGTGATGAGGAAGAACAAATTGAAGAGGTTGAGGTATCTGAGTCTTCTAGCACCAAAGAAACTTCCACTCGTACACATACCAACAGTGAATCTGAAAAAATGCCTTCAACCCAATGTACCCAAAATAGTAATTGGACACAGGAAGACATAATGAGAGAGTACCGCCGTTTCAATATTGATTTAGCTCCAAAGGTACTAGCCTTTTCTGTTCATAAATGTTTTGGAATTACTTGCAAAATGAAATTGATAACATCTTTTCAGCTCCTGTTTGCACGAGGATCACTTGTGGAACTCCTTATATCGTCTAACATAGCTCGCTACACAGAGTTCCATGCTGTCACTCGTGTACTTACATGGCTTGATGGAGAACTCAATGTTGTGCCTTGCTCAAGGGCTGATGTGTTTGCTACACGGCATGTATCTGTTGTTGAAAAGCGTATGCTGATGAAATTATTGACTACCTGTATGGACACAGAAAATTTGATTCAAGAATTTCAAGGTTTTATTAATTTTTTGCTGTTTGTTTTATTTGCTTTACTTTACTTTCTTTAGACTTTTGTTGGGAAATAGCACTGTACTATATTTTTCTTTTTCCATTTTAAATAGGTTTTGATACCAAGACATTTCTAGATTATTTGAAATCCAAGCGTCTTACAGCACACCTCCTCCATTATGTCCTCTATGCTATTGCAATGGGAACGGATAGTACTCCATGCATGGAGGGAGTCGAGCGTACTCAACGCTTCCTGAATAGCCTGGGCCGTTATGGAAATACACCATTTTTATGGCCTATGTATGGTACTGGAGAACTACCACAAGCCTTTTGTCGGTAAGAGTTGTCATAGAAGTGAGATTCATTTTTCTGAAATTAATTTTGTAGTTTACTGTAATATTTGTTTTCCTGTCAGTTTGTGTGCTGTGTTTGGTGGGACCTACTGCCTGCAACACCCAGCCAAGGCTCTGGTTGTAGCTGATGACCGTTGTGTTGGTGTTGTCTCATGTGGTCAGCGCTTAGCAGCAGACCATGTTGTTATGAGTATTTCTCAAGCTCCCTCTAATTATTTTGATGATTCACCAGTGAGCGGGATATCACGTGCTGTCTTCATCACGAACAAGTATATACTAGATTTAAAGATGTGTTATTTATCTTTAAATATTTTTTATGTCAAATTCAATCACATTGTTTTTTTTTTGTTGTTTTTTTTGTGTGTGTTTAGATCTATAATGCCAGCAGAAAAAGAACCTCTCACATTCCTCCAGTTTCCTCCTGGACCAAACCACCCAAACCCTGTCACTGTGATTGAGGTGGGACCATCAACCCACGCGTGTCCCAAAGGACTGTGTGAGTTCTGTTGATGTTTATCTGATTGAGGAAATTCTCATTACTTTGTATTTTAAGAAATGCTAAAATATGGATAAACCTCAAATTTATAATTGTAATACTCATTTCCTCATGGATTTTTTTCCAGTTTTGGTTCACATGACTTGCAAGCAGAGCAAATCAGCAAGGGAGGATTTGCTGGAAATTGCTGAACATATTCTTACTGTAGATGATGTAAATCCTAGTGATTATGACATCACAACTGGTACCCAATCAACTCAAACTGTGAAACAGGTATAGAATTTTTCTGTTTTTATTTTATTTTGTTTTTTTTATTGCCTGCACATTCAACTTCTTATGCCTTCTTTGTTTTCTGTAGGAGTCAAATTTTGCCCACTCGGAGGCACGAGGTGGAAATGGTGATGAAGCAGCAACTGTTCGCACCAAACCACAAGTACTGTGGTCGATGTACTTTGACTGCCTTGAAACATCAAAGAGCAACTTAAGTCCCAGTGTACCGCAGAACCTACATCTATGTTCTGGTCCTGATTTAGAACTTGATTTTGAATTTTCTGTGCATCAAGTAAGTCATCACCCCAACCAATTTAAAATCAATCCATAAGCATTTTAACTAACTCTAAAACCTACTCTTTTCAGGCAGAGAAAATTTTCAAACAGATGTATCCTGATTTAGAATTTTTGCCTCGGGCTCCTGATCCAGAGGAAATTGTCATTGAAGGAGATTCTCCGGAGGGAAATGTAAGAAACCTAAAGAAATATGAAAATCAATTTACATTTTTAAAAAGGCAATTAAATATCTGTTGCATCAACTTGTCTTGGTTTTCTGTTCTCACAGGATCAGGAAGCAAATTTGTTTGAACTTGTTGATCAAGAGGACCCTCCATCATCTGGTCAACAAGTGATTGAAAACCCATAAGATTTTCTTAACCATTGTCTCAATTCTGTACATTTGAGCAAATATGCTACACGTGCATTCAATCAAAAATTTGTAATACTTATTTATGATGCATATGCATTGGACGAAAACTGTTTTATTGATTTTGTGTTCATAATGTTTTGTCATATTTCTCAGTTCATTCAATCTCAGTATTGTTAAATGGAAACCATGAAATTATCATCTTCAGCTGAAAGCTAAAAATAATTACTAGTGTCACTCCCTGGGCTTCAAATAATTTTAACAATGAAATTTCAAAAAAAAATTCTGTCCTTTTTTGTGGTTTTTTGTGACTGCAAATTTCTGATAAGAGATTGATTAAAACCATATCAAACAGTTTATGGTACTTTGAATCTGCTCAATCTCAGCAAAGTGATACCATAGTCCATGTGGCCCAATTCCAACATATTGTCATGCTCTCTTGAGAATTTGAGACAGTTACATTTTTTCTGTGATATGTCAAAGATTAATTTCTCTCTGGTTTTGAAGAAGCTTGCACATATCATCCAAGTGTGGCACCCTAAACCTACGGTTGTGTTGTCATTCTATTCTTGTTTTTTATAATTGTTCATGTAGTTTTTAAGAATACTATTATAGGCATTTAGGATATTTATTTGCTAATAAAAATTGACATGCTTCTTGTAGCTCATGACATGTTGAATTATTTCCCCTTCCCATGCAAACTGCCGTCAGCCCAACTTCGTGGAGGTCGAAGACGCTGTCTTCTTGGGGGTGGGCGCCCTCGAGCCGCGTGGCGCGCCAGGGGTGGACGGTCGGACGGTAGGCCTCTTGTCGAGGCCGCGCGGTTCAGAAAGCACAAGTCAGGATGAGGGCCGGCAGCGCCAGGATGCACGCGACGTACAGGGCCGTGCGGGGCTCGCACGTGGACACGGCCAGGACGTGGTCGTGGTGGACGCGGGGGTTGTCCCGGGCCTCCTCGTCCGTCTCGACGGGCACCTCGAGGACCATGGTGTCGTCGGACAGGAAACGAAGTGGCAGGGTGCACGAGGTGGCGTTCTGGCCGGGGGCGCCGGGCGTGCACTCGGCCACCGGGCCGTGCACGTCGTACACCACCCTGTCGAGCTCGAAGCGCACGCGCACGTAGTTGGTCTGCACCTCGTTCTCGCTGCCCAGGATGAAGAAGTAGTGGCCGTCCATGGGCACGGTGTAGGTGATGACGTTGGGCGCGGCCGCGGTGGCCAGGTCCTCGACGGGCCGGCGCCGCTGGCACTGGCGGTGCGGGGTGAGCGGCAGGTTGAGCACCAGCCCAGCGCACCCGAGCAGCGCCTCCTCGGAGGAGCTGAAGGACGACCACAGCTCCGAGTGCGACTCGTCCAGGCTGGTGGTCTCGTTGACCCAGCCGTGGACGTCCTCGCCGGGCGCGGGCGGTGCAGGAGGTGCGGGCGGCGAGGGCGGCGCGGGGCCGGGGTCCTCCGCGGCGATGTTCTCGTCCTCGCCGACGTCCCTGCCGAGCCTGGCGGCCCGCAGCCGTTCGAGGGCGCGCTGCCCCGTGCGGCCCAGGGCCCGCAGCCGCTCCAGGACGCCACGCGCCAGCTCCGCCGAGCCCTCCGCGTCCTCCGGGGACGCCCGCGCCTCCTCCAGCCCGTCCAGGCGGTTGAAGAGCCGTGGAGCCGGCCGCACCTTCTCGTGGAACTCGACGGCCTCCTCCTTGACGACGTGCATGCGGGTGGGCAGGTTGGAGCGCGGCTTGAGCCTCGGCTCGTCCGGGGGCGGAGCCGGGGTCCGCGGCGCGCGGTGGCCCTCCTCGAGCTGCTGGCGGAGAGCCGCGCGACGCACTTCCTCCGCCTCCTCCGACGAGTCGTCGCCGATGTAGGCGCACTGCTGCAGGTGGTCGTAGCCGCGGATCACCACCAGCGACACCCCTGGCCACCTGGCAATCGCAGTAAAAACAAATTTAAAAACAAATTTT